CTGTTTCGATATGTCAGTGTCAGTGTTTTCTTTCCAATCCTTTGTCAACATGAAAACTATCATATCAAAATTATCAATGATTAAAGATTTATGAAAATGATATGTAAATCTGAATGTGTTCTGAATACATATATGAAGTTTCTCCCATTGTTGCCGGTTCACTGGTCAAGGAAGACAACTTGTATAAAATATTAATGTGACAGATACAGTATGGTAACATGTACTTTGATGGCAGTGTTTATTTCTAGTGTCTTAGGGAGTCTAAAGTCACATCAAAGATGAGGTACATGTCAGAGTGGCCCCATAGTAGCTAGCTTCATGCTGTCTTCGTCTCTTATCCACACATCGTAAAGTGACCGCTCTTTGCTGTGATATCCTGTATTATGCTTTCGTGTCATTTACAGGCTCGATAAAAGCTCATGAGACTTTCACTTACTGTTTAACCCGAGTTCTATATCCGTACATGGGTACTTTACTAGAATACTGAAACTTTTGCATTTTGCAGTCGACAAAAATGACACGAAATCTAACAGGCGTGGGATTTTGAGAATGATCTATGCAGTAATTCTCAAGAATCAACATCAAGTTTAGGTGTGTACACCAGGAATATATATACAAATCTTGGAAGCTTTTTTCTAATAACTACGTTCCGGTCCGAGTCTGTCGACAATTTTACTTCAAAATGGGCGGGGCTTCTACGTGAATGGGACGACATAACTGGTTTAGAGGAACTGAGGGGCAGATTTAGAGCAAAAAAAAAAAATAATTTACGACAAAAATCTTATTTCTGTTATTACTGGAGATTAGATAACTTTGTTTCAACATGAGATTATGCTTACTGCTAACACGCCAGAATCCATGATCTGATCTTCAGCTGAAGTGCAAAACAAGCAACGGGACCCCATTCTATACTTATTTGAGGCTTAAAGCAAAACAATTGCTCTAAATCTGCCCCTCAGTTCCTCTAAACCAGTCATGTCGTTTCATTCACGTAGAAGCCCCGCCCACTTTGAAGTAAAATTGTCGACAGACTCGGACCGGAATGTAGGACGAGTTATTAGAAAAAAGCTTCCAAGATTTGTATATATCTACACACCTAAACTTGATGTTGAAATAATTTGTTAGATTTTTGGACTGATTAGCAAAACATGGCCGACAGGCAGTCATCTTAGATTTTGCCTAGTTAAGTTTGTTATCGCTATTTTTGGAGAAGTACTGAATGGATCTCTCTCAACTTTCATACGTAGGTTCTCCTTGGTTCCTATTTGTGCCCGTTTCATTTTGGGACTGATAAGAAACACTTTCAAAGAAGAAATAAAGATCAAACAATGATGGGCTCCAAGATCCCTCTGGGATCACTTGTTTACACAGTGATGTCTTACAATTTGGCTATTTTATCATGATGAGTTATATACAACATTTTGTTTATATAAATATCCTTTATCAGTGTTTATCATAGTATATAGACATACTCTATTCTTTGTAGCATTTTGATTTGTTAACCATAAGATGTTTATCTCCTTTTGTCAATATCAGAATTTCATTAACACTTAAAGGGGAGATAATTCAGCAACAATGAACAGATGAAAAATTGCTTTATTGCATCTGAAATATCAATGTTGTTTTTATGCAACCATACATATATATTTTGTATGGCAATTTTTACATTTTTATAGACAAATGCTTTATTTTTGTGAATATTATCTTTTTATGATATTAAGGCAGAATGTAAATAAAAAATTCTAAAATTTCTAAAATTATCAAATTATTTATTTATTTTTCAAAGTTATTTAATTTTATACATTCAAATAACTTTCGTTGACTTCGGTTATCATTTTTGTACCTAATCTAAAAACATTGATATTTATTATTCGGTTAAGAGAGAAAAAACATTTCAAATCGAAATTATAAAACAAGTACTTCATTGACCCATTTCTATTGCATGAAAATAATCAGTAAGCTATGCTGTCTTTTGGTGTTGAGTTAGAAAAATGTTTTTCGGGAGAAATATGGTAAATTCGCATTTGAAGTGAACTGAGACGTTGATTTGTTTTTATGTCATTTACCATATGTTATATTGACAGAAACACAAATAAATACAGTTGTTGCCGGAAACAGAATTTTACTTGTTAATTTCAAGAAACTGATACAAGGTGTTAACTAAAAAGACAGATGAGAACAAGCACATATATTGATATATAGTACAATTAGTAAGAAAATAACATTAGCGTACAAACAGCTCTTAAAACACTTCAAGATTACTAACACAGTTCAGCACAATACCATGAGCAGACAAGCACTACAGTCTAACGGTTTCTTTTCATTGTTCTATTGATACCTATACTCTCTCCTCTCTAAAATGAGGTATGGGTTTTAAAGAGGTAATCATCAGCAAATTTCGACTTTTCACATAAGCAGATACTTAATACAGGATAATATATGGGGTAGCTGCCTATGTAATGTTGCGCAAACGGTTCATAACTTAACAAGGAACTCTGTAATGACTAGGTTTGAAGCTCAGGTGGGGCACTTTTTCTTCATTTATTTTTTATATTGTTTTATTTCAATTCTTGTTTTTCCTCGGGTCTATACTATAAAACTGGTGAATACCAATTTATTTACCAAAATCGTTTCCCAGCACACTATTTTTTCCCCATCATGTATGCTGTATCATGTGTTACCGAACCCCTTGGCCAATATCAAGATACTTAGAAAATATATCATTTCCTAGACAAAGCTGCATCTTAAATACAATGATATAAAAATACTTGTTACCAGTTAGCCTGTTAAATAAGTATTCATATTAAATTTTTATTTCCATGGCAATGACCGTAGTGACTATACTACGACTGATCTGAATATGCCATGACCAAATTAGGTCATCTAACTACACAGGGACAAAGAATAAAGTTTACTCGCCGAAATATACATTATTTTTATATCTTATTTATCTCTGTCGACTGCTTTTTGAAGCATCGCCATATTAGAAGTGTGTGCGATAAGTCGATTATTCCTACTACTTTTAATTCTTTTATTTTATTAGATTCATAAAAAAATGTTACGATGAATGTTTTAATTGCAAAATCACGTTAAGTATGTACTCCGTTGACATTTTGACCGGAATTTAGGCATTATTCAACGTAAAATGGATTTTAACATAACATCTTGAACTTTTGTCGTTTTTATACTTTGTCATCTATAGTTGTACGTATATTGAGTACGGTCTGCATGACGTTTCGCTAGATATTTTGGACATCGATGTGGACAATCGCTTCAACAATTGCAGAGTAGTTTGGTGGATTAGGTCATTCACTTGATTACAACTGGTGTAGAGTTCAACTGAATTTTGAATGCATTATCAGCACAAATCACAGATTTTTGAATTCCGACCTAGTGACCATTTCCCCGGATTTGTAGGACCTAAAGCTAGATATGTCAGTTGGTTTCCTGATCTTGGTTAAACTGGCAATTTTGGTGAAGACTGCAAAAAATAAAATAAAAAATAAATTAAGATAAATCATCCTCATCTTGAAATGTATCCTCGAAAATTAAAAAAAAAAATTCAAAAAGCTTTATACTAGGAGATGGTAAAATACAAGATCTATGTCATTTTGCACTATTTTTCCTTCCATAGATACTCTGGAATTGAAAACTTATCAAGTAACATAAACACTTATCATTTGCACGTGTTTTTTCTTAATATCCAATTATAATACCCGTACTTCGTAATAAAAGACGAAAATGTATTTCTAAAAATGGTTGCAGCGAAAATTACAGAGAACGTTTGTTTTTCCAGATGAAATTAAGAATAATATATGGAAATAAATTATTTCTTGATTCACATTTTCTGACACCTGCACCGGAAACAGTAGAACAGCAATATACCGATTTTTGCTTTAATCTAATTTCTAAAATCAAACATTTCAAAAACTAATCATCGGAAAATGTGTAATACTAGATATTGTTAAATCGCAAGGGAGTACATCCTTAAAACGTCGTCTACTTCCTGACTCACGGTAACAAAATGGGACGTGCATCAATGACAAGGTTAGTAAATCACAAAAAAGGCATAATTCAAACATGAATGACGAAATGTACAATACCATGCACGGGATGACGGGAAAATCTCATTATGTTTATAAGCATCTTTCCACTGGATTAATATCAGAATGGGGTTTAGGGGTGGTCCTGATATTTTGCAAATATAAAACAGAGCTTACAAGTAATAGATGTGTCTTATTTTCAAATCTTCCTTTACACCGGAGAGTTTTTAGAATTGGATTTGTTTTTATCATTTTCTTATATTATTATTTTAGATTCATTAAATTTGTAAATTTGTTTATGTAAATTTGACGGTTTGCTTGTGCGCGTTTATAAAATGATCTGATTTGTCATGTTAATGACCAGAGCCATTGCACAATAACTGAACTGGTTAAATAAGATGATCTGACCACATGGAAAATCATACAAGGTTCAATTGCCGAAGAATACACTATTTCCACTTCAAAGACGTCTGTTCCCCAAACCATGTCAATTTGTTAACAATAGAGGTTAAATTGTTTGAATCACCACGACTACTGTATACAGCACAGGACCAAGTATTGGAACACTTTCACAAAACAGAAGTATATAAAAACCTATCACCTTTCATATAATATCCATAATGATGAGAAGAAAATACGTCCCCTGATTTCGTTTGGGGAACAAAATTATAGCATTTTGTTCGTTCATGTTGTTTGTCATTGACCTTGTGGTTTTATTCCGTGAGGATTGTTACACAGTACACATCTAAACAGTCAGACTTCCGGGTTGTAGTGTCAAGGTCAAGGTCTGCACTTTAACGGCGTACGTTTTAAACCGGATATAAAACTCATTTCAATATCAAAACACTTATTTGATAGTAATTGAAATAATTCAACGGTTACATTTTACGTCTCATGTTTTTGTACGCACCTACATAGCATCTTTGAGAGGATAATGCGTCCTCGTAGAAACCATCGTCATGGGTACAAATCCTCCTGACAGACGAAGTATTCTTGGTTCGAACAAGGGAGGTCATTCAGTGAAGCATTTGATGGGTACAAATTAACACAATGCTCACTGACATGAGAGGGTTCGTCTGCAGACCACAACTTGTCGCTGATTGGCTCTCCATTTATCCACCGGAAGTCGTTAACTGAAGTATCATCATAGTCGTATCCGCCCACCCACCATCTAAAATGAGCTGGAAAAAGGTAAAACGCTTTGAAATAAATCTGAAATAAATCTAAAAAGAATGTATGCAATATTGATACCAACTCCTATAACAAATGGTGAATATATCTACAACACACAAATTGCTGACATTAAGTCATAAGGACTGATTTTAATCTGGTGTTAATCACATTATTTCATATTATCATGAAGATGATTATCTAATCGTGCTATGTTTAACATCGTGTTGATCGTCTGCCATCACTGTGGGCCAAGGTGCACTTACCAAGCTATCAATCATAAGTACGAAGTTTGTTGAGGTCTTGTTTTTGGCCAAAAAAAATGCTTTTAGTTCAATGTCAGAATCACGGGGTTAATGCTGCTGCCGACTATCCCCAGTGTAATCGTAAATGAAGATACATAGTTTGTAACTCAACGTTCCAATGACCCGATGTTGTTTACAACAGTCGTGTGTATTCTGCACCGGCTGCTATATCACTATTGTCAGTAAACATGTGTGTTGTTAAATATGTTTATCTATGTTGTGAGATGTCATTTGTTTGTAATGATAATTTTACAACAAATGCAGTTTTAATTTGAAAATTCAAATAGACCGCAAATTCACCACTATCCTTCTGTGCTCGGGGTGGATCAGTCTCTTTAACAACATTGGCTGTCGTGCTTTTCGAAGATGTATCATAAAACTATGACATATTCCTAGAGAATATTGTGTATGTTGGCATAACATTATAGAAATAAAGATAAAACGATCGTAGTTCCTTCAAGTTAAAAGGAATAGCACAGATGCTTATTGTGATACACGGAAAAAAAGTTGTACAATTCAATATTTCAAAGCAGTATTAATGCCTCTCCATTTCTGGGTCACGTGACCTATCTGAAGGGTCGGTAACTGCGTTACGCATTGTATATGTAGAAGCTGAGAGTACATGTCGCCTTCCTTACCGCAACTAGTGGGAATTTCCCTTTAGTCGGGCGATAGAGCGTCCGGCTAGAGACTGAAGGGTCGCTAGTTCGAACCCCAGCTGTGGCAGGGTGTTTTTAATTACTCTTTCCCATGACAGATTTAGTGCCGTTGACCAATCTAAGGGTAGAAGGTATAGGAAATTGAGATGCTTCCTTGGACATATTGAACCTGGGTTGTTGTTGTTTTCAGTGTCGAAGACTTAGTGAACGAGGGAGTAGTGTAGAAGTTGAGAGTACAGGTCGTCTTCCTAGCCTCGGCTGATGTGAATTTCCCTTTAGTCGAGCGGTAGAGTGTCCGGCTAGACACCGAGGGTCGCTCGTTCGAACCCCAGCGGTGGCATAATTCCTTCTGATTATATATATATAAATCAATAACAACCTTATATCACGATCATTATATAAGATGATAAATATACGTTTTCGTTGAGATGACCTTTGGTACTTGGTTATGTATACAGTACAACACTAACATCCATGCGTAGTACCATACATTCACAGGGAGACACCCGCATGCATAGCAACAAACACTCATCTTCCATACTTTGCATGCTGTTCTTTAAGGTCATTTAAGTCAACAACGTTTTCCCCCTTTTTTTATCTTAAGCAGAAAAGATATTCATATTCAGTCAAGAAAAAAAACCTAAAAACAACATGGACATCAAAGTTATTTGAAGCCAATGACCAGTGTGGTCGGTTTAAATATTAGGAAAGTCCGTGCCAAATATAGCAAGAATTTTCATATAGCTCGAAATGAAGCGCCATCTGGTAGGAACGAATTTGCTTGACAACAAATCCACGCAATTGGGAAAAAGAGTGATGACACAGTAATATACATGTAAATCTTTCTCGGAGCTATGTTTTACCTAAATACATTCCAGCTCTCAGATTCTTGTCAGCAGTGATTTTGAATTGTTTTACATCCATTCATTTGTCACCGTTTGATGCAGGAACATGTAACTCGTTTCCCGCTCCCGTTTGAAAGTGATTTTAGATGACATTTTCGAGACAGGTTTGCGCATGTCCATGTATTTTGATATCAAATGTTTATCGTATTGAAATAAAAAAAAATATTTTGAAAGCATAGTATGTCAATATCAGGACATGCATAGTTCATAAGGAGTACAGAACTACAATTCCATGACCGATATTTTGAAATAAAAAAAAAGTTTAACAACTTGACTAGAACGTCCATTTGAAACGAAATGTAGCTTGATAGATGGTAGAAATTTGTTATAAAAACCCGGAGATTCACGAGTGAAAATATTAACATTATAAGCGACCGTCTAATTACAACCGATCCTTATCTTAAAACCATCAATTTTTACTAGTTACCACCAAACACTACTTATGCCGGTGCGGACGTATGATGAGGCCACTGATGGACAGTTTTGGCATGAAGTTCCTGTCCAACTCGTTTTATACTTACCAACAACCATAGACCATACCTTGAACATCCCGCCTAACGCAGATGGACAAGCAGTAAGAACGACGCAGATTTAAGTGCCTTGTGACAAATTGTTGTCGCTTTCAGGCGGTGACATATCAATGGGACCATAAAATTTTTAAAACATATGATCCCATCATTCGTGGATCTTAAATCACGTGCTGTTCCAGAACGTTCGCATACCTCGGATCGGGTTCCTGAGTAAAACGCTCTGCTGACAACGCTATTCCACTCCTTTGAAAAAACAAAGGGTAATGCCAATGTGGAAACGCGTACACTTAACATTTTCTAGCAATGTGTACTTACTTCGAAACTCACTGCTGTGCAATCCGGATTTAGTGGCCTGTTGTTTTTCTTTGGTATCAGTAATTAGGAGGTATGCCCCGTCATTGTTACACCAAGCTGATGCCTCGAACCAAGACTTTCCGATGCTGGAGAATCGAATGCATGTATCGAAGGCGGGATCGTACTTGTAGTCTTCTCGTCTGCATACCCCTAAAATTGTACACAATTCTAATTTGAAACAGAAATACACTCGCAATAAATCAAAGAACTATGGATACATGTATTGTAAAGTTGTACTGGATAGCTATACTTCTCCTTCTTTGTCCAATGTATGTCATCGATATCATTACGCCTATAGGTCTCTAACTGAAAATTGATACGCTGTTTTATATAAATTATGAATCGCTGTGAACTCTGTATTGCAAGATGATTTTCAGTCTTTGTCTGTTATTGTAATACAAAAGGAAGGGCTGTAGCATGTAACCTTCACGTTATTGCCGAAATTAGTTTGGGCGTTCTTCTTGGGAACACGGAAACAATGTTCCACAATTCTGGGCAAGGCTGCTTTCTGTTCGATGATGTCAACGTTATAGACATTGTACACTAAAAGATGTATCAAAATAAGCCAAAAATAAAAAAAAATAAGGAGGACTATCAATAAAATAAATTCTTAATAGATTTGCTGTAAAAATTACGAAAATACCAACATAATCATAATTCAAACTCAAATTCCATAAACCTAGGGATATATATGAAAAAAAATGATTTACAGGGATACTCCTGAAAAATTACATGGTGAATACTACCAGGTGATTCGGAAGAGGAAACATTTTCTGCTTCATCGACGACACCCACCATGTAAACATTTCACAATCCAAGTGCGTCATGTCACGTTCTCAAATGAGAACAGAGTATACAACAACGGAACCAACAGGCAAACTAACGAGCATCACTTACTTCCTGCGTCATGGCAATCAAAGAAATTGAATATTTCTCAATGAGATCACCATGGCGACCATGAAACTTTCCCATAATTTTCGTCAAGTTGCATCCTTTAAACTCTTGTATTACAAGTCTGTTTGTCAGTTCGCGACTTCTTGCATGGAAATCATGATACCGGGCCTTTGCATATCGAATGAATTGTGACACGTGAATACCTTAGGGTATAGATGCACGGACATTGCTATCCAGAAATTGAAAATTCACAAAAGGGAATTTGGAATCATCACGTTTATCATACAGCTAGATGGATAGCTGTCAATGTTGGTTTCGTTGTAGGAAAAGATCAATATAATCATAAAAAAAGAAACGAAAGCGTTGTGTCAGTTTAGAGTGAGGTATAGGGGATTACAGAACGAAAAATCGAGAGTTCTTACGAACAAAATGCGTTTTAAATGAGGGTGTTGAAGATTGGTCAAAAGCCCTTTAAAATGCTGTATACTATTAATTCCACTGTTTGAGTAAATAACATCACAACAACACTGTAACCCTGATTTGATAATGCTAAGAATGGTGGTAAGTGATTGTGACAAAGGTTTGGTTGATTACCTAGAATGAATCTGATTAAAACACAATTCTCGCTCCGTTAATTTTTGCATAGTAGAGAGAAAAGGGATCAATATTTTATCTACACTGACATCTAAATATGCCCTAGCATTTTCGACGTATTTTGACGAAATGATTTAATGCTTAAATAGAATTATGCAAGCTTTTTAATTCACCTTCATTCACTTCCAAGATTCGGTAAGAAGTAATTGATTGGCTGATGTAAAAAATGTTCACCAGACCATGACCATTTTAGGATGGTGACAGATGCGGCGAGAATTATGATCTGCAATTTAAGCATATTGCCCCCTTTATATATCGATGTCATATTTTAGGGGATTACAGTCACCCATTCGTATAGCTTTTTATCTGTTTCGCATTTTCCGGAACATCTTGTCGTACTCTTCTTGTTCTTTTTTGTCATGTGTTAATCGTTCATTTGTTCATATTTTGAGTGAATTTAGATTCTGGTAGCATGTCATTGTATTCGTGGTTGTTCTTGAGATTTCAGTGTCACATATTCATGGTCTATACCCGACAAAAGTGTGGTTGGTATAGGAGTTTGACATTTTTTTGTCCTTCAGACATTTCCAATTTTATATCATGTTTTATTAGTGTGCTACGTACTATTACATATATTGATACGTACGTTTCCATAGTGACGTATTGGCCTGATCTACTCTTCCTTGTAGAGGATCTCCGTACCCTCGGCATTCCTTGGTGTTGGAAGTATAGCTGAATGATCTACATTTTACTGTGTGTATCTTGCATGAATCAGCACAGGCGATGGTGCTGTCAGCTTTTGCTTTAAATAACACGGTGTCATCGAAGATAACGTTAACATTGGATGCATCATTCTGCCAGGATGACTGTATGAAGCATCTACCAGGAACACCTGTAGATACATGTTGTCAGAAGTTATATAGTATTCCATATTCTGCAAATTTTGGTTTGTGTGCGATCCCCAAAATAATTTTGTTTGAAAGTGCATTAGCGTCGAAATTGTAAATCTGCAATGTCATAACCTGGATGAATCTCACCCGGTTACATTATACCAAATACAGGACTAACCAGCTAACAGAACTAAATCATACCATTTTGCATGTAGTTTATATTCCAGTATCAACCATATTTAAGTTCACAATATATAACAATACATTGAATAATATTACAAGCAACTACTAGAAATACCCGCAATATCAAATGTTTCATAAAAGGGGATTCGGTTTGTGATGTTAGTCCACCAGCGGCTTTTACCACCTGCAGTAACGAAGATTGTATAAGATAACCCTTTCATACAGATACAGTAGAACCAAACAATGGATTTAACTATAATATACTACGCCCATCTTAGTAATTAAAAGAAATCAAAATCCAAAGAAAACTCGATTTAATGTGGTAACGGCTCTATGAATTCTCAGCTTTGAACTCATAACTTATAACAGATCGCTAAGGAATACTGACGCCCATCATTGCATGTCGTTTATTTGTTCCTTGCTGTAAATGTACATCTTTTTTGTCATTTCTGGTCTCGTATTTGCTCCGATTACTGATACCAGGTCATAAGACACAATGGAAACAAAGTAAATAAAACTTCTTCAGGACTTAGCGACAACAAGCATATAAAGGTTAGATTCAAAGTTGGCAAAGCCTTTTCATCAGCAGCAAAATGAATGATGAATAGTACAGGATCACATTGAACCTACATATGAAGTTTGAGTATGATCCAGTAGTAGGAAGTAATGATTACGAAATCAATTCAAACATTGGCATTATTCTTTTACCCATCAGTCCCAAAACGAACAATTAGTGACTGAGGGAAATTGACATATAAAATTTGGGAATTATGCATTCAAGCATCGTCAGAAATGGGCGAAACAGAATTTATGAAGGACAATAGGAAGACGTGTCATGGACATCAAAAATAACGATAACAATCAAAAACGGTCAAAGTTGGTCATTGGTCAGCAATTTTCTATCAACAGCCACATGAACAATACACATTACGGTATATATGGAGCACCTATATCGAAATACAGGATTAATGCTGACAGTAGTTCTCAATCAATCAAGAAATAGCGATAATATATTAATGCTTCCAAAATTATTTATCTTTAAACCTGGCAAGTGTGACAAAATCGATTGAAACACAGAATAAAAAAGTGATTTGATGGGGAAACACAAACAATTTAGATAGATCGGTTAAAATCCGAGTGCGGGTACAAATGGCATGTAACAACTCTATGTAATATTTGTCAATTTATGTGCTTTTAAAATGTACCCTGAGAGGCCAGTTATGTTGACCTTGAAAAATAGTTCTGCACATAAAATACACTATGCCGAGAACGCGAATGCCGTGGAATGTTCCGTTACTGAGAAATTGCGACTTTTCTGAAAAACACACCTCTGGCTGAGAGGCGTTGACCTCGTTTTCGGGCACCCAAACCTGTGACGTCATAAGTTCAACTCTTTTGTTGATGCAGCCATATTGTCGTGGTAATTTCTTTGTTTATTTACGTGAAAGTGCTTCACATCTTCGCAATATCTAAGGTAGTGAACGAGGGGTCGGTGAATTAGCGCTTAAATCCGCTAAAATGGCTTCCTATCGAGGAGGGAAGCGGTGTGTATGGTTGTCCTAACACTATCACGGATGGGGTGTCGATGTATGACGTCGATAAATAAAACTGATTGTTGATTAAATAAAAGTATATTTGTTAGGTTGATATTTTGTTATTAATTCTACAACCAAACATTTTAAATTGATAGGCTAGCCTATGACTTGGGCGGTCATAGGAATATTATTCCTTCGTAATCGGGAACGCCTAATACTCGGAGAAGGCCTAGTCGTGAATGGGTCACGGGAATTTTCACCCCGAGAATTTTCATACTACTATTATATAGTATCGAATAGAATTATTAGAATTTATAGAATAGGTTATGTGTGTATGTTGTTTGTATAAGGTGTATTTGGTTTTTAGATTTTCCAGCAGACAATGTTGTTTAGTTATTAATTTTGCGATCGTAAAAATAACAATAAGATCACCAATCTTGATTTGAAAACACAGTTCACAGTGTAGAGATGTCATCTAAACTCATAATCACACCTGTGTCAGGTTAGGTAATTAGCACCTCTGTGGCTGGAAAAAACAATTGTGACACCTGTGAGGCGACACGCCTGTCGGCTATCAACAGACGCGTACCAGTGCTAGGGTAAAAACCAGTCAAATAATTGTTTAAACTTCTAAAACATCAATTTTTTATTATTAACACAGCGAATGGTGTTATAATTGGTTGTTGACACCTTATCTATATATATCCATAGTGCTACGAAAATTCCCTGGAAAGAAAAATTCCCCTCGGACGAAACTTCTTCGGTAAGAAAATTCCCGACACCTCGTGAATGTATGCATAGTCTTGCACAAACGCGATTTCCCGACGTCAGAAATTGTTGATCGAGACTTGAAGATAGTGAAATTAGTCCAAAACCACACCCAATTTTATTTTGTTTCTTTGAAACGACGATTCACTGTTCGACTACTTTCACGACTACTGGTGAGACCCAGTGAAGTACGTGCCAATCTATGTTGCCAAAGCGATCGTTACTTTTCGAAGGGTCATTTTCCTCCTCACTGGATACATCGTCTTGTAATTCCAGTTCAAATCGGTAGGGCTGGATTCCGTCTTCAGACATATCATTCACACCATAATCAGACTCCTCAAAACTCATGCTCAAATCGCTCTCAGTTGCGGTGTCGTTGTCACTGTCAGTCATGTTGACTGCCATTTCTGTTGAACTTATGACGTCACGAGTAGAAGAGCCTCGATTCCGCGGAAATGACGATTCGGCTGATTAGGTCTGGGCGGACAGGTGAAAATCGACAACTTTGAGCTTTAATAACTCGACACTGGGGCGACGGATTTTGACGGGGTTTTCATTATTATTATTTTTACGGCATTCTTAACATTATATCTAAAGATAAAATTACTCTCAGGGAACACTTTAAGTAAAACCTATTTTTCCTTTTGAAGTGATGAAATCGACCTTGTTGGAAACAGATCTGTGAAAAAAGGTAACGCGAGTTATATATGCTCTCATTTTGTAACAAAATTTGAGCAGAGACATCCTTGCTGGAAGGGGAATCACTTTTATAACACTGGCGATCTGCGCCCTCTTCCCTCCGTCTGAAACATCATTCTTTGGAGAAGGTGACTAAAGTTTGTATACGGATGCAAATAAATGTTGCTCCCTGACACTAAATCTATCTATGTATGTATCTATACATTCGTATACTATAAAAAAATGTCCAAATCGATAACGGCACTAGGCTTAAGGTTCGGTTATTTGGATTAAAGAGATTCGCAAAATCATATATCCCTTTTTCGTCATTATGGCATACATTGTTGACTTGAACATGCGCTTAAAGACAAATTCGCCTAGATAAAACTATTTACATTGTGTCTGAACATTTAACAAGTCATATCATTGACTTGTGCTTGTAAACCATCACATTCTGTTTATGGTAGCGGTTTCCCTATTGCAGCGTTTAGTATCTATACAACATTTATATGTTGTCGATTTGAATTCGAAGCATCATAGTGTCAGATGGGACTTATTAAAACAATACTTCAACAGTATATTTTAATATTTTATTTTGAGACTTATCATAAAAGCTAGATGACTAGTGCGTGCCCATTTAGGATGATGACAATAGAAGTTCTTCATCATTATTTCTAAAAAAAAAAAAAAAAAACTACTAAGCAAATATTTTAAATTTTCATACGTAGGATCGCAATTTTTCTCTAGATGGGGTATTGTGATTGTGGGAATGCTCCAGAAATGACATGGCTGAGGAAATATACACTTGATTTCACAGTTAAAGATTACTATCTCTATATCTAAAATTGAGGACCAAAACATTTCCTGTTGCTACGACCACTGTTGATGTGGGTAAGACAGTTTTTAAACCAAAGCATAAAAGGTATTCAGATAACAGCATTTTTTGAACTGCTTGGACAATTCACTATAAAGTCCTATAAAAGTATTACAACATTGAAGTTAATGTTATTTAAAGGTACATATCGCTGTGACTTTACGCAATGTGCATATGAACATCTAATTAAAATGCAGATGCTAATTTTCACTCTGCTACTCTTCTGATTAGTATCTGACAAAATTCCATAACAGAAAAATGCTGAGATCTACAGTTTAATCATATTGATATGAACCCAAAACACTACTATAAAGTCGTTGGTGATATATGTAGGCAGTATCAATGTGTATACGAGACTTGTATCGGGTGACAAAAATGATGATTTTACGATACTAAACGAAAATCGGTGTATTTTCATCTTAGATATTGAAATACAACAATGATAAAAGAAAACCGATCTTATCTAGCGTCACGGTTGCTATAGCAATCGACATCTTATATACAGATCCGTATATATAACAACAAACAATTACCTGTTAATGATGCCAGTAATATGACGGTCCAAATTCCAGATAGTACGCTTTTTCTATAGGTGAAGGTTTTTGTAGAAACTTTTCTGTGTAACAATTCAACAACTTTTTCCATTTTCTTGAAAATCCTGATCTGCTCGTTATCCACAATATTAGACGACTGAAGTTGCGCTATATCTTATATCAATTTTCACGTCATCAGGTAGGCAAGTTCCCGGATTCGTGTAAATTTATCAATTATACATCATACATAGGCTGCGAGCAGTCGCCCGTGTAATTGCGTTAATATATTGGCCAATTGTTCGTGTAAAAATCGTATTAAAAGTTAGTTGTAAGAATTGGAAAGTCTCTTTCCTCACGAGTGCGAAAGGTCAAGGAAAGGCCAAACGATTGACAGGGTAACGGGAGGGATTAGGAAAGAAGTTCTTTCTTCACAAGGAATAGAACATATCAGATAGTGGTATTGTATGGGTTTGTTTTCCCCAAAATCGAGGGTATAATGTGACGGGTGATAGTACTGTTAAGTTGACTAAATATTCTCTCTATCACAAGGACACACCTATACCACATCAATCCTCAAACACAAGCACTTAACAGGTGAAATTTCTTCGCATCACACGGGGGCTGTCCTTAAGTGACCGTTTTAAAAGGACGTCAGATAATATAGAACCAAACCAAGCCCAAGTAAAAATGGATACTTTGAACCGTCTGCAGTTTGTGATGGAATATCTAAATATTCATATTTTGGAATTGATATCTTCTCACATCAACTGTTTTTCCCACTTGGTCTTTTTACAATATCTCGCGTTTGACCTTAAGCATGTATCCTTGCGATTAACGCTTTAAGTCTTACGCCCTTGCATATATATACCAGACTGTAAGAGGTTTTTTTTCTATTTCCTGCCTAATGTTCTATGTTATGTTAGTGTAACAAATGGCATTCCCACTGTCAGTACAGTGTGACCAAGTAGAGTATCCTGCTGGGACCTTCGGGAGTATGCAACAATTTGGTGCACTATAAAGTCGACTTCAGCTCCGTATCGCCTCCTACCTAAATAACATTCAACTCCCATACAGCAAATAGGCAGAGATAGGACATGTATCAAAATAAAACTAAACAAACCGATTCTTCAAACTCTTTTGTTTAAAACTCTTTATTGAAGTATTCGATTTTCGAGGATGTTTCATATTCATGTCAACACCGTACCAAACATAATTGGCAAATAACTGTACAAAATATTTTTATAAAGAAATGTAGTGGTTTTTATCTCAGAGGTCACTTCTTTAAATAGGTTGAAGATGTGTGATGCATTCTCATTTTTTTATGTATGATGTGCCTAATTATAAACAGAAAACAGATTGACCTTTTTCAAGTCTATCTACCATATTGATTTGTTTAAGGAAAGTTTATATGAAGACGGAAAAGAAGCGATACAAAACAAAGATTTCTACCGCACCCCTCTAAAATTGTCTCAGACAAGGTTAAAGTGGGAGTAAGTCGGTATTGTTACGCTTTGATAAGATCGTCATTAACGTCAGTAAGAAATTTTCGGGGACATTCTCTTTGATATTTCTTACTTCATTGCCCAAAGTTTTAGACTGCCGTTAGTTGATCAATTATACATCATCAATATATGTTGTAAAGTTATCGCCCGTGTAATTAAGGTACGATAAGGAGATGTTTTGATGTTTGTATAACGACTGTACTATAGGGTCAGCTGTAAGAATTATTAAGTCTCGTTAAGAAGACAGAACCTGTCTCCTCAAAAGTGCGAAAGCCCTTAACAAAAGGCCAAAAGATGGCGGTGTAAAGGAAGTACGAAGGAAAGTCATTTTTACAAGGAAGTGAACACATGTTACCATGTTATGTTAACGATTAGTTCTCTCTAGTATAACGTGACTGGTGTGATGACATCCAGCGTCAGTGTGATAGCACTGTTTGGTTGGCTGTATGTTATCTCTATCACAAAGAAGCTTACACAACTATATCACAGCATTCAACAAAACACGCACTTAACACATGAACTCTCTTTGCACCAAAGATGGGAACTTGCAAAAAGCAAATAACCCTAGATGAGAGAGTTTGCAAAATAAAACCAAACCAACCTATCCGACAACCTCTTTCGATAAGAACTCTTTGTTGAATTATTAAATTTTCGGTATAGAAGACAAACGATCATCAGAGCGAGAAAGACTGTAAAAATCAATAACAATATTATCTTGGCCTACAGGCCGACATCTAGAATTCAAGACCTTCGATACAACATAGTGTGAACAGGTGGCTAAAATGTTTGATTGTTTAGTGATTTCCATATTTGGCTTTAGTTATTATTAATTAATAATCAATATGACATATTCCTGGAGAATATTGTGTATATTGGAATAGCATCATAAAAATAAAGATAAAACGGTCGTTTTTCTTTCATGTAAAAATGAATAGCACAGATACACGGGAAAAGGTTGCGCAATTTAACATTTCTGAGCGGTGTTAATGTCTCTCCATTTCTGGGTCACGTGTGACCTACCTAAAGGGTCGGTAACTTAGTTGTGTGTTTGTACAGTGTATATGTAGAAGTTGAGAGCACAGGTAGCTTTCCTAACCTCGTCTACTTGGGAAAGGAACAGTGTCACATAGCGTAACGATCCTTGGCAATGGCATATTGTATGAAAAGAGAGAAAAGAGTAATCGTAACTCAAGAACCTCTCAACAGATTTCATTCATACTTGAAATCAAAGGTGTACATCTGACAATATTTCTGTTTGTGTCGTTGGAAGCATTTTTGTCCATAAGACGTTGCCTAGTTTTATGTTGTTGTATTCTTCAGCCAGTACATGACATATTAGATACATATTTTATACATACGTTTCCATAGTGACGTATTGGCCTGATTTACTCATAGAAGATTTCCGTACCCATTCCTTGGTCTTTCTAGTAAAGCTAAATGACTTACATTTCACTGTGTGTATTTCACATGTATCAACACAGTCGATAATGCTGTCAGCTTCTGCTTTAAATAACACGTGTGTGCGATCGCAAAAAGGTCGTTTGCAAACTTCATTAGATTTACAGCCTATGTCCTTGACAGAACTTACAAAGGATAACAAATGGCAAAAATGGACAACAAAGATCATCGATTCAGTGCTTGAGGAGAGAGATTTGAAAATGGGAAAAAAGGGAAACAAAGATCGAAGTAGCCAAAAGCAAATGACACGAGATAGGAATAATATTATAAAAAAGAGAACTGTGGGGCCTTAATTGCTCAACTTGATTTGCTTGGCTCAATTTGCTTCATCAGAACTAAAGGTTATTATTAACACTCAACTTAGCAACACCTATTTGCTCCTATCCTCTGTCCCGAGGGGCCTTCAAAACCATTCAAGTTTCAGACCACATTGAAACAGAATCCTGCATATCTGGAGAGGGATTTTCAAGAATTTGTTCTATTTCATATTTTGGGGCCCCGCTCCTCCCGTCTCAGAGGACCGAAACCTACAAAATAATTTTACGCCATCTGAAAATGTTTGAGACCAAATGTGGTAAAATTCAATTATTCCTACGGGAGCATTTGTATGATTTGCCCTATTTGGCGTGTTGGGTCCCGCCCTTCCGGTCTTAGTTGAGCGAAACCTGCGTAATAGACGGAGACAGCCAAAAACTAGTTAGTAATCAATTTTAATGATAATTTTACCTTTTGTTTAAAAAAATAAAAACTTTTACGTTACGACAACCAGTAATTATCAGATCAGAGACCCAATCACTAAACGCGAGGTCTATAGAATAAAAAAATAATATCACACACAGAAACGGCGAGTTAAGGGGTCTATAAACATGTCAACATAATCTTAATCCATCTCGAGCTACGAATATAAGAAAAAATTACACGGATACTTCCGACAACTTACAAGGAGAATAAAACCAAGCTTTCCGGAAGAGGAAGCGTCTTCTGCTTCATTGACGCCATTCGCCATGTTAATCTTTGTCAATCCCGGTAAGTAATGTCATGTTCTCCAATGAGAACAAGGTATAGATCAACGGAACACTTATGACTTGTCCAGTATACAGTAGCAAAAATATTTAAAAAAAACTGTTACATTCAAGCTTTCGTTTAAGTGATCCGAACATTACGAAGTCAAGACTGTGACAACATATTAAAAACCTTTGGATCCTAGAATAACTGAATCAATATTTACATATTGGGTTCCTTTCTGACTAGCTTTCATGTCTGGGTATAGACTATATATGTGCAGTATGAATTGATATACGACATCTAAAATACATAAGTAAGATTTTGTGCTGTTAGTACGCTTATTATGAAAACTGATCAATGCATCATATATATATTTATATATATATATATAAAAATCCATAGTCAAACAATACCGGCGAATATTCCTCGCATATCGGTATTGGTAATTATCATAGCCAAGGTTGCTGTAGTGCACAGCTTAATACACATGGACCTGGTCAAAAGATTGCGAAAGGTCATTAGCATAATACACAATGGTCCGTATAACAGAAATTCAGAACATAGAAACTGCTATCTTATCACATTTGAAATCATTCAGGGTCAAATAACAATGAGACAAATTACGCTCAACGCAAGAGAAACTGAATTAAACAATTGCATTATAAAGAAAATTCCAACGGGAACACCGAACGTAATCTACTTTAAAACCGCTTGCATTGAACAAGTTATCCCCTAGGGATATTGTCGTTAAAGAATATTGGCGTTAATTAGTTCTCCGTTTGATTCAATTTTCCTCTCCTTTCTCTCCTATCTCTGTATTTTGCTGAATATGTACCACAAGACACAAAGGAAACCCACATAAGTTAAATAAGGTCCTTAATTTACTTCAGGAAATAGTAATAAAAAATCATAATGGTCAAAATCGAAAGATAGTTAATGGTCAGCCATTTTTATTAGCAGAGAAATGGGCATAGTACGTAACGAGATAACAGGGAATTTACATCTCAGTATAAACATTATGCAGTAGTTCTCAAGATATATTAATTAAGAAATAGCGATAACTAAGTATTTCATCCCAGATGGCCGTCTGCACCAACTAAAAAATCACCAACATGGCAGCATAATCATAGTTCTATATCGTATTCCATAAAATTCAGGCAAATTATGAGCAAAAGATATAGGGAAAACAAGAATTTTCAAGACGGAACGTATGGACAGACCAAGAACGAGGGGATCGTCCTACATTGATGACTTCATTCGGAACAGATCTGTAAATACGGGGAGACCTCTGGGCTTAGTTTGCAAAATGTAAAAAAGCAGCATTAGTTACTCACTATTCAGAAAAAGCTTATACGAACATACCACAAGCTTTCACAAAAAATACAAGTTCAGCATTTGACCAAATATGGTCAGCAGCATCCTTACTTGAAGAAGAATCGTGTTTGTGCTTGTGGGGATTTATGCCGTGGAGCCAGAGGAGATCTCTAGAATGCCATTTTAATTTTGGACAGATCAGAAAAAGAATATGAACGACAGGCGGTCATCTCGACTTGTGTTGAAAATTGCTGGCACCATTTTTTGGATAGAACTTGTCTGTTTTTCCCTTAGTGCTCAGTTGTGCCCGTTTAATTTCGGGACTGATCAGAAAACAAAGATGGCTCATAGGTGGCCATCTAGAATTTTGACAACGAAATATAGTTTTCTTTTGTTACTTTTTCAGAGGTGTTGGATAGAATTTTGCGTTTATGTCTTATTTACATTTCCCATAGTCCCTAGATGTAACCAATAATGTCAGGTCTAATCAAAATAAAAGACCTATATGTAGCGTCACGGAGTTTCACAATGAATGTGTGTTACCATCATTTCTTGAGAAGTACTAAATTTTTGTTTTTTCATAATTTTTCATCTAATTTCCTACGTTGGGTCCCTTTAGTCAAGAGTTGTGCCCTTTATATTTTTGGAGTGATAAGAATAACAAAAAAGGCTGACATGTGATTACACTGGATTTAATAGATAGAAATTACTGTTGCTATTACTTCACAACACGATGAACAAAACTAGAGGAAAGACGAGGAGACAAGGGAGAAAATGGGAGCTTCTTTGAGATACGTTTCTACAATATAATGCTCATCTAGAAATCGTCAAGTATTTTTGTTTTGAGATTGTTTATGTTACTACGGCTACTGAATATGTACGATAAATAACAAAATGTTCCACGTATATGGGTTTGCATTACGCTGTTGATTTTTCGAAAAATCTTGAGGTGTCTTGAAGCGTAAATTTATGTCTGTGTGAATGGTGCTCGTATTTCTGTCACGTGACAAGGCATATGAACCCAAAAAGCCAATATGATGTCGCAGTAGATATGTATGGACAATATCAGTGTATATAAGACCTGTACAGGGTAGAAATTTATAACATGAAGGCATGAAGTAGGAATACAATCCAAACCACACGAAAAACAGGTTCCTGGTTCTGTATATACTTCTTTGTGCACAAATGAATCTTGTATTCCATTTCCCTGATCAGTCCTTTCTCCAGACGGTTAAGAGGTCTGAAGTTCCACCGTGAATTGTAACGTCGTTCACTCTACCATATACAATATAATAGGAATTATTGACACTTCTATCCATATCGAGGGTTGATTTTTTGTTCAGTGTTATTTTACGGCTCATTGACAATTTCGTCATATAATGGCCCTGTTATATGCATTTTGAAAGGAATGGAAGTTCTCGGTAAGGGAAAAAGTCTACTGGGAGCTCAAATGAGGACAGATGATAACATTGCCAAGACTGAAATTAAATCGTTATTTAAAAAGAAATTATAATAAATCGTCATGATATAAGCTTACTTGTGATGTAATTGTCTTTGTTCTACTTTTGCTGTGACGAGAAGGAAAATACATTCAGCTTAAGGTGTCAGCTTTGTGTTATAATAACAACTGGTTTGCTCAGTAATGTGACCGAGTGTGGTGCCCTCACACTTCAGTGTTGTACCATTATTATGAAACCAAACTATTACATGAAGGCTGCTAACTCTCGCCCATATCTCAACCCTCCACGAACACAAGGGATAAACACACCTTCCTACCTCGAATAATACGGAGGCCGTCCTCAAATGACTTTAAATTTGCCAGGATGTCCAGCAATATAGAACCAAACTCAACAAAGATGGCCACAATAAAGTTAATGAATGGTTTTATTGCCTTTATTCCAGAAAGTTACTGACATGACAAAGAATGGTCTATTGACTTTATTCAAGAATCCTTATTATCATTATCAATATTATTTTACATCCTTAACGGCCCGTCAACACATAAAAGGTCATCAGGGCTAAAAATCTTAAATGGGTATGCTAACACAAAAGATTAAAATGGTACGTCATAGTCTATTATATAGACCAACATCTTTCAGGTAATGTAGAATTTTACAAATCTGAACAGTATCAAAAAGGGTTTTTAGACATGTAATGTTAAGATAACAACATTCTCGAGTAGACAGAAGGCCAATGCAGTCCAATAAAAAAAAAGTTTAACGGTGAATGTCTCATCACATCCTATGCGCCGAGGGTTATCTTCACCTTTCAACATATATGAATGTGTAAGGTATGTATGAACCCTCCGAAGACGGGCAAGGACAAGTTCATTGTAGTGGTTGTATCTATAGCATGGAGACCATTCATCCATAACAGGTTGAACGGAGTGCAATTTATTATCGGTATATGTATTACATTCCTCGTGCAACTGAGCTGCTAACATTTGTTAATTAGATGTTTTAAAACCGGTAAAATGAAGTTTAAAAACAACAGGTGGCAGCAATAAAGCTTCCTTTGCGGCACGATCTGCTTTTTCATTGCCTGGTATTCCCATGTGCCCAGGAATCCAACAAAAATCAATACGAAAGTTAAAAGCAAATTAATGATATAGTATTAATGTAATACGGATGAAAATATTTTCGATATTTCTATTACTAAGACTTTGTAGAACAGAAAGAGTGTCTGAATGGATAACAGCTCTCATTACTTTATTTCTTTAAATATATTCAAGGGCGTATATAGCACGCGCTTCCGCCGATAATATTGAGGCGTTGTTCGGTAGCCAGCATTCATAGGTTTCATCTTGTGTAACCATGGCCGCAGCAACCTTATCATTATCTTTTGAACCATCAGTATATCAATATAGAAATGTTTTATATTTTAACTGCAAATTCGAGAAGGATGAACGAAATGTGCAACTGTCAATGTCTGATTTAACCATTTCATGAAGTGAAAAGTCAACTTCAGGTGAATTCAAGAGCCAGGGCGAAAGTTTTATCGTTCCAAATGATCTATGATAGGTCAATATCAATATTTGTGAGAGAGGAAATTAGAATACCGAATGGTGCAATGGTCTTTGAATTGTTTTGAAACAAGGTTTTATATTTTGGATTAAATACAAGTGGAAAAGCAGGATTTGAATTATTTTACTTCAGCTGAATGGTGTACTGCAAAGCCAATTAATTTCGACGGCTATACAGTGATGGTTCGTTAGCCTCTTCATATAGGCTTGCTGAAAGTGTGGTCTTGAGCGAGAGCGAGCCTCAGACCCTGGTGATGATCAGTTTCTAATAATTTGAAGGTCTAGCATATCAAAGCACAATGGAACCGTAGTATAATTTTAATTTGATAAGAGCTCTATAACGTGTTAGCAAAACTTTTCTATCAGCTCCCCAACTTTCGGTAATATCGAGCCTATACAATTTCCTTATGATTTAGGTGAAAGTACGATTCGGATCTATAGTAATTTCCCCTTTTATTGTTGGTACTTTTTATTTGGTACAATCAGGAAAAAATATTGAAGAAAAGTTGCTTAAACAGGTGTTAATGACGTGTGGACGGTTTAGTGTTTGTTTTGTGTATTACTGTTTACGTGTATTACGATGTGATTACCTCCCCTGATAATTTACGAAATTTTGTCATAAAGGGTTACGCCAACCAAGCGTGAAAGAAATCAATTGAATCGAA